CCAACTGCCAGCAGTCAGACATCCCTCTCACAATCCAGGACTGCTATCTCCTAACTGCTCACCTGCCTGCCTGCCTGATCGCCCCTACTGGCCCCCCTGCCAGCCTGATCACCCATAACCATTTCTGCCTTCGGCCTGGTTGCCCCCAACTGCCCCCGCTGTTGGCCTGGTCGTCCCACACAGCCTGCTGTTTGGTTGTTACTGTTTCTGTGACAGTGTCCTGGACAATTTGCATATTCCTCTATTATTAGTATAGATTGTCAGGCAAGATTTACCAAAGGATGCTAAGATTGAAGGGGCATAGTATGAAAAAATACAGGGCATTTCTGTGGACTCAAATTGTCTACGTCAGGATATTTATTCGTTATAAAGGGAGAAAGAATAGTTTCTTAATAGAAAAACCTGACAAACAGCACTTTAATTAAGTGATCAAGGTTGCTAACACCAGCAAAATTGCTTATTGACATTATGTGGCCTCTGATATGACGTACCACCCATTCGTTGCAACTACAAGGCAAAGTCTTAGTGAAATTACTCAGGAAATGGCAGGAAAGACACCTGAGAATAGACAGAACACTCACAGAGAATTGAGACAAAAATCAACACTTCCATGCTCATGCTGCATATGTTTTTCAATTCCCCCTAATTATTTTTCTTATTCCCAGGCAGACATTAAAACAAGTCATCCCTCACTGCCCCCCCCTGCCGGCCTGGTCGCCCCACACAGCCTGTTTGGTCATCTGTTTGGTCATCCGTTCGGTTGTGATGGCCCCTGGCTCTTTATATACATAGATATTTATGAAAAATAAACTACCTAAATTTTATGGGTAAATTTCCAATAATAAATGTTTGGTGTTTAAGATAACAATATCTTAAACTCCAAGAAGCCAATATGATTATAGTGAGAACTTAGGGAACTATTTTCTACATTGAATGGCCCCTGAAAAGTATAGCAATACTCCACCTTAGAATTACTTTATCAGTCCTGTCATACCAACTATCAGAATCATCTTTTCTTTAAAAAAATTTATCTTTTCTTTCCTATCAAGATTAACCAACCATTCCTTCATTCATTCCCTCAGTCATTCAAAAATGTTTAATAAGAAGCTACTATGGAGGAGGAACCAAGATGGCGGCATAGGTTAACACCGGAGTTTGCTGCCTCGAACAACCACTTCAAAAATACAACTAAAAGATGGAACGGACATCATCCAGAACCACAGGAAGGCTGGCTGAGTGGAAGTTCTACAACTAGGAGGAAAGAGAATAACATACCGAGACTCAGAGGAGGCACAGTGCTGAAGTGAAATACTAAGGTGCGGAGTGCATGTGGAGCGGGCTGGTGGCGGAGGGTGCGGTTGTTGTTTTCAATCGGGAGGGAGTCTCAGACTCTGAGCTCCAGATCCGGGCAAGTCTCTAGGGACCCAGACTCAAACAGGAGAAGCGGACTGTCTGGCTTCGGTCGCAAATCGAAGGCAGCCTCCTCTCCAAGGTTTGCAGCGGATGCTGAGACTCTGAGTGGCAGAGCCCCTGGGGACGGAACTGAGAGCAGCCATAACAGCTCGCTCCGCCTGCCCTGTAGATCCCCAGGGACCTGCCCCGCCCAAGCCCTGCACAGAGGCATTTGCCAGATAGCCTTAGGCAAACACTAGATTAGCACCGCCCTAGAGATCCAGCACAGAAGCTCTCCCACTGCAGACACAGCTGACTCTCATAGCCAGTTAGCCTGGAGGGCAAATCACCCCCAGTATTGCCGACAACAATCAAGGCTTAACTACAACAAGACTGC